ATGCCAACAACAGGATGCAACAGTGGCTGAAGTATGGTCTGAGCAGGGATGGAGAATACCTTCAGAAGATTTTTAAATGATTGGGAATTGGGAATGACTGAATATATAGTAACTTATCTCAGTTCAAAGGAACTACTGGAGATAAGTACGGAATTGCTAAGGAATAAACAATTTTTCTGTGAGAGATGCATACAATGGACAGACCTTGTCCAAGAATCAAGTGTGCTGCTTGCCATAGAAGCTGATCTGGAGAGTCCAAGATTCCGTTTCAAAGTAGCATGCTTTACATTGCTGGTGGCCAAAGAAGCAGTATTGACATGGGATAGTTTGAAAAGAAAGGGGTACCAGCTATGCTCCGGATGTTACTCAGGTGGAGAACAGGCAAAGACAACCAACCATATCCTTTTACATTGCAAGTGACAGATCAGATAAGGAGAATCTTCATCAACCTAAGGTGAATCAGGTGGGTGATGCCAGGTAGCACAAGGGAAGTACTAAACAGTTGGAGCAGAGATGGTGTAACACCCTAGAAGTTCTAAACTTATATGTTATTAGTATCTCCCATAGTCCAGTCTCAGATCTTGCATGACGTCGTAGAGGTTTTGTGATATACATGTCAGCTTTGTGTTGTTTTCAGATGAACTCGCTTTTGAGTATTTAAATTTCATATTTCAGATTACTCTGTTATTTCAGTTTAGGTTCCGCATTCATTTGTTCTCAATTATTGTTTACATCAATCATAGTGTCATGTCAAACCATGAGTTAGTTTGGGGTCACTTGTGGCTCTAAGTACCCTATTACGACTAGGGGTAGTCTTGGATCATGACAAACTTGGTATCATAGCCTTAGGTTCAAGTGTCCTAGGGTGTCTGAAGGTCGCGTTAAGTAGAGTCTTGTTCATGGGTGTAAAGCACACCACACTTATGAATGAGGGTCTATGAATTGTTTAAGGAAATAGTTCAATTCTTTCATACTCTCAGTCATGCGATACAGTTTAACTCTATTTAACCTCCTATTTTAATTCGTGCTCTTTGCGTTTAATAGAATCATGCCTCCCAGAAGAGCTTACGTTAGAAGGAACAGGAATGAAGGTCAACAAGCACCACCAACTCGAGCAGACCCCTTGATGAATGAGCAAGTCTCTCATGCCAAGTTCAAGGATGCTTTCCAAGTGTTAACTCAGGCCCTGACCACTCTTGGTCAATCAATAGGCTATTGCACAAGCTAACTAGAACGGGAATACAACAACGGCTAGGGTCTGGGATTTTACTAGGATGAATCCTCTTGAGTTTTATGATTCAAAGGTGGAGGAGGACCCACAGGAGTTCATCGATGGTATTCAGGATATCGCACAGATTATGGGGGTCATCCTAGTGCATACTTCGTCGCTTACCCGTTGAAAGGAGTGGCACATATTTGATATAAGTAGTGGAAGGATGACAGAGGAGTTGATGCAGGCCTAACAAATTGGGAGAAGCTTGTGGCTGCATTTCTGAACAGGTTCTTTCCACTTGAGCTAAGGGAGGCCAAGGTCCAAGAATTTATAAATCTGAAGCAACAAAACATGTCGGTGAAGGAGTATTCCTTGAAGTTTACCCAACTATCCAAGTATTTTGCATCTATGGTAGCTGACTCCAGGGCCCGTATAAACAAGTTTATTTCAAGTGTTGAAGAGACCAAAGTAAAGGAGTATAGAACTGCTATGTTGATCAAGGAGATGATCATCTCCAGGTTGATGACTCATGCTCAACTGATTGAGGAAGAGAAGGCCAAGGAGTGTAAGAGGGCCAGAATAGTCAGTGTGGACTAGTCTCCGTAGAAGTCAGATGGTGGCAATCGCTCTCAGTTTCGTCAGAAGTTTTCAGGTCCAACCCCATCCTCTGCTAGTGCCCCAGAACCCAAGTTCAGACAGGAGAACAAGAATAGGGCACCAGGCTCTAAGTCCAAGGGTAGTGTCACTAGTGGTCATACCTTTCTGGTTTGTCAGAAGTATCGTAAGAACCATCCCTAAGGGTGTATGGCTGGTAGTGGTAATTGTTTTGGATGAATGAAGTTTCTTCATTTTGTGATAAACATGAAATTTTGATACCTAAGATGGATGAATTTTATATTCCTGGAAAGTCAAAACATAGGTCTTTTAGTGTTTCTTATTCACATCAGTTACATGTTGAACTCTTTCATGCTATTATTGACTAGCACCCGCAAGAGCTTAATAATAGTTTTGGTGTTATGAGTGATAACTTGCTTCTTTGTATGACAATCTTGAATCCGACTGATGTTTTTGCTAATTTTAATAAGGAAAAGATAATGACAGTAGCCAAACATTATCCAAATGAGTTTGGTGAACCAAAGCTTCAAGATCTGAGTCATCAACTTAATACTTTCATAATACACATGCGGCATGGATATCTTACATTATTTGATTCGAAAGGAATTGGTTATTTGGCAGAAGCACTGGTTAACGCAAATCTCATAGAGACTTATTCTCTTGTGATACTTCCTTGTGAAGTTGACCTTGATTTTACTTGTTTTTTTTATGACAAGGGAAACCCGCAGCCGCTACCCTTTGGGTGCGCACAGGGTAAAACCCCCACTACTGCAATTGTTAGAGACAACATTCTCATCGAGTAAATGATTGTCTTGTGATGCTAAGCATATCAAGAATGAACAACCTAGTAGTATTAGTGATGAATTTGTAAAAATGATTGTTTAGTTTGTTACATCGAAAAGGACATATTTGTGAATATGAGTAACAATGCTATCATTGATCGTTTTCAAAATATAAAAACCCCTCGATGTCAAATATAAATGGATGATCTTTTTTTTATATTAGTACTAAATTAATGGCATCCAATCATTTTGAAGTTTATGCTTTGGCCATAATTTTTCTCATTCTTTAAGTTAAAGAGAATTGTATACCGAATTTCGTAGTGAATAAGAGGTTAGACATTTGTTTGCAACACAGCACATTGGATGTTGATGTAAAACTTTATTTATTAATATGAAGAGTTGAGTTGATTAATTCAAAATTCTAAAATATTCTTGATGAAAAGTAAATTGTTCTTCTTCCTTTTTTTGTTTATTTTTTATTTTTTTATTGTAATGTTCAATAATGTTTCAAGTGCAATCAAAATCATAAAATTCACTAATAAAATTTGTTAGGGCCTCAAAATATTGGAGGCTTAAAGAAGACGTTTTGCTAGTCTTACACTTGAGCCACTCCTGGTGCTGCCCCCCTATGGGTTCGCCTCTGCTTGTTATGCCTCAATTGATTGTAGAACCAGAGTCCTTAAATTCCATTTCCCAATGAACCAACCATAGAGTAGAAAGGTAGTACTTCAGCGCCTATAGAGTAGAAAGGTAGTACTTCAGCACCAATGAAGCAACCAAGAAAATGATTTCTAAGGGTTGTATCTACCATCTAGTCTAGGTTAAGGATTCTAGTTCCAAAACCCCAACCCTTCAATCAGTTCCAGTGGCAAATGAATTTCCCAAAGTGTTCCCTGAGGATCTTCCAGGAGTCCCTCCCAAACGGGAAATCAACTTCGGAATAGACCTTCCTCCAGATACAAAACCAAATTTTGTTCTTATAGAATGGCTCCACCTGACCTTAAGGAGTGAAAGGATCAGTTAAAGGACCTCTTAGATAAAGATTTCATTAGACCCAACATCTCTCCATAGGGTGCTCAATTCTCATCATGCATAAGAAAGATGATTCTCTCAAAATGTGTATTGATTACCGTTAGTTGAACAAGGTCACAATCAAGAATAAGTATCCCATTCCCAGGATTGATGACTTGTTTGACCAGCTTTAGGGTGCCGGTTCTTCTCAAAGATAGACATCACATCAGTCTATTATCATCTTGGAGTCAAAGATTGTGACATTTTGATGAAGGCCTTCAAGACTCAGTATGGTCACTATGAAGTTGTTGTTATGTCTTTTGAACTAGCAAATGCTCGCTTTTATGGACTTGATGGACAAGATGTTCAAATAGTATTTGAATATGTTTGTCATTGTCTTCATAGATGACATCCTTATTTATTCTTGGAGCGAGGATGAGTATGCAAGTCATTTGAGGATTGTCTTGTGGATTCTTAAGGACCGCTGGATGTTTGCTAAGTTCGATAAATGCGAGTTTTGGTTGAAATCAATAGAGCATCCCTTGGTCATGTAGTCCTTGGAGAGGGCATTCGGGTTGATCCTCAAATGACCGACGTAGTTAAGAACTAGCCCAGACCTCTCTCTCCAAATATTAGGAGCTTCTAAGGTTTAGTTTGTTACTCCTCAACTGCTTCACATTTGTCTAGACCGACTCAGAAGAAGGCAAAATTTTAGTGGTCCGAAGCTTGTGAGTAGAGCTTCCAGGAGTTGAAGACTCGACTTACTTCAGCCCAAGTTTTGACTTTACCAAAAGGTTTAGATAGGTTTGTGGTTATTGTGATGCTTCCAGGATTGGCCTGGGTTGTGTGTTGATGCTACATGGTAAGGTTATAGCTTACGCTTCCGGGCAACTTAAAATTAGTGAGAAGAATTACCCAACTCTTTATGGTGTTCACGTGGTTGTATTTATAGACCATAAAAGTCTTTAATATGTGTTTAATCAAAAGCACTTGAATCTTTGCCAAAGGAGATGGCTTGAGTTGTTAAAATACTATAACATGGGCATTTTATACCATTCGGGTAGAGCCAATGTAGTGGTAGATGCTCTCAGCTGGTTGTTTATGAATAGTGTCGCTCATGTTGAGGACGAGAAGGTGTTAGTTCATGATGTCCACAGGCTTGCTTGTTTGGGATATTACCTTGTGGATTCGAGTAATGGTGGAGTTATTATTCAGAATGGGTCAGAATCGTCTCTTGTGACCAATCTTAATTGAATTGAAGAAAGTAGTCCTTAAAAAGATTGTGGGACAACAATGTTTGGGAAGGGGAAGTAGTGGAGATAGGCTCATACACCTTGACTTGCAGTTTTAAATCAAGGGTAAATGGTTTCACTTGGCACATGACAGGGGTATATGCACCAACCTGCAACTTAGAAAGACAGGAGGTGTGGTGGGAGATAGGGGCTGTCAGGAGTTTATTTACAGGGCCTTGGGTTCTTGAGGGTGATTTCAATTTTGTTAGATATGCTTCAGAAAAGAGGAACTGCTCCAGAACCTCTGCGTACATGAATGATTTTTCTGATGTTATTGAGGACATGGAGCTAATTGATCCACCACTTGAAGGGGGGAACTACACGTGGGCCAGGGGATCCAACCTGGAAGCTGTTTCGAGGATAGACAGAATTATGTACTCCTCTGAATGGGGGGAGAGTTTCTGCAATGTGAAGCAAGAACTACTACCTCGAGTTTGTTCTCACCATGCACCAATTGCACTTAAAAGTGGCCGTTGGAGTCATACAAAATCATATTTCAAATTTGAAGGATGGTGGTTGGAGACCAAGGGTTTTAATGAAAGAATTAAAGATTGGTGGACATCTTTTGAATTCGAAGGGAGGCCTGATTTCATCCTAGCTTCCAAGCTGAAAGCTATGAAGACTAAACTGAAAGACTGGAGTGTAAGCACTTATGGGAACCTGGAAAAAAGAAAGAAGGAAATGCTCAACAGAGTTCATGAGTTTGACAAAATTCAACAGTCCAGTCCAGTCCAGGCCTTTAACTGAAGGAGAGACTCTTCAAAAAGCAAGTGTGGTAAAGGAGTTTGAAGAGTACGCAAAGAAGGAAGAGATAGCATGGAGACAGAGATCTAGAACTCTGTGGATAAAACAAGGGGACAAAAATACAAGGTTCTTTCAGAGAATGGCAAATGCTCATAAGAGATTCAACCATATTGATAAACTGGTGGTAGAAGATCAAGAACTGGTGGATCCCATAGATATCAAAACAGAAATTATTTCTTTTTAAGGAAGTTGTACAAGGAAAGTGAGAACTGGAGACCATCCTTTAACATGAACCAGTGTCCTTCCATCAGCTTTGAGGAGCAACAAGAACTACAAAAGCCTTTTGAAGAAGAGGAGGTCCTTGGACTTAAAGCTTGTGTTGTAGACAAAGCACCAGGTCCAGATGGATACACAATGGGTTATTTTTTAATTGCTGGGAGATAGTGAAGGGGGATTTAATGTCTACTATGCAGAACTTTCACTCCCAGGAGTTTTTTGAAAAGAGCTTTAATGCAACATATAGCTCTCATCCCAAAAAAGAGTGGTGCAAAGGAATTGAGAGACTTTAGACCAATCAGTTTAATTGGAAGTGTATACAAGTTGATTGCAAAGATTCTCACAGAAAGATTGAAGAAAGTGATGCACAAGCTAGTAGATACTCAACAAATGGCCTTCCTAAGAGGAAGGCAAATAACTGATGCAATCTTAATTGCCAATGAGTGTCTAGACTCGAGAGTGAAGGAAAAGTCCCCAGGAGTCATGTGCAAACTGGACATAGAGAAAGCATATGATCATGTCAATTGGAGCTTCCTACTTGAAATCATGCAGAGAATGGGCTTTGGATTGAAATGGATCAGATGGATAAAGTTTTGTATAAGCACTGTTAAATTCTCAATACTGATAAATGGATCTCCTGAAGGTTTCTTTCCATCAGACAGAGGACTAAGACAAGGTGATCCTCTCTCACCTTTTCTATTCATTATAGTGATGGAAGGCCTAAACAATATGCTAAAGACTGCTCACACTAAAGGGTGGATAAGGGGCTTTAATGTAGCAAATGAGGGGAATCTAAGATTGGAAGTCACTCATCTCCAATATGCAGATGACACTCTCATCTTCTGTGATGCAGAAGAAAGCCAACTTAAGATCCTGACAGTGATACTTCTTTTTGAAGCAACTTCAGGTCTCCATATCTTCTGTGATGCAGAAGAAAGCCAACTTAAGATCTTGACAGTGATACTCATTCTTTTTGAAGCAACTTCAGGTCTCCATATCAACTGGAGAAAAAGTCTTATTTTTCCAATTAATGAGGTGAACAGAATGCAACATCTGACAGAGATCTTGGGAGGAGAAATAGGTAAACTACCAACAGTATATTTGGGGATGCCTTTGGGAGCCAAAAGCAAATCCAATGAAATCTGGAATGGGGTGTTGGAGAGATGTGAAAGAAGACTATCTAGATGGAAAGCACAGTATTTGTCTAGAGGTGGAAGATTGACCCTGATCAACTCAGTCTTAGATGCTTTGCCAACATATTTGATGTCAGTTTTCCCTCTCCCCCCTAAGGTGGAGGAAAGAATTGATGCATCAAGGAGGAATTTTTTGTGGAATGGAGAGAAAGAATACAAAGGATTTCATTTGGTCAAATGGAAGACTGTAATTCTTTCAAAGAAACAAGGTGGTTTATGATGAAGTGGTTGTGGAGATTTCCTAAAGAGGAGCAGGCCCTTTGGGTTAGAGTGATTCAGGCCAAGTATGAGAAGATAGATCACCGGAAAACTAAGGAAGTGACTTCTACCTATGGTATTAGCCTATGGAGATCAATCAAAAATTTGTGGCATTGTTTCTTTCAAAGAACTAGATTCAATGGAAGAAAGATTTTGTTTTGGGACGATAATTGGTTAGGAAATGGCAGCCTCAAACAGCTCTTTCCAGACTTCTATATGTTGAATCAGCAACATGAGGCCACTGTGCAAGAAGTTTGGTCTATCCATGGATGGAACTTAACATACAGAAGGAGGATACAACACTGGGAGGTGGATAGACTAGCTGAATTTTATGGCACCCTGGACCATTTTGGACGATTGAAAGAGGGAGAAGCACTCTTAGGTGGATTCATCACAGCAGAGGTATCTTCACAGTTAGCTCTGCCTACAAGAACCTGAATCAAATAGGGACTCAACTCAAATTTTTGCCTTGGAAGCTTATCTGGAAAGTCAAAATTCCATATAAGGTGACAGTCTTTACTTGGTGGTAGTTAAAGAGGCAGTACTAACACAGGAGAATCTAATGAAGAGGGGAATACATATGTGTCCTAGATGTTTTTTTTTGTGAGCAACAGGCAGAGACAATCAACCATCTGTTTCTTCATTGCAAGGTGGTTAGACAGCTGTGGCACTTATTTACCAGCTTCAGGGGCACAAACTGGACCATGCCACAAAGGGCAAGTCAGGCTATAGAAAGCTGGAACAATGAAGGCAGTGGCAGTACAGACCAAAGCAGATGGAGGATTGTCCCAGCAGTGATTTGGTGGACCATATGGAAAGAGAGAAATATGAGATGCTTTGAGAGTATTAGTAGTCCTTTACACAGGATTAAAATGAACTGCATAATCACTTTTTGCTATTGGTGCAGTTCGGAGTATGTAGATGATCCTATAGCAGTTAGAGATATCCTAGGTCATTTGTAAGATGAAGTAGGATCTAGTTTAGTTTTGTTTTAAGTACACGCAACTGTATGTAGCTCCATGATGTAAATTTGGGATCCCAGCCTTTAGTGCTAAAGATTAATACACAAAATTGTTATTGTCAAAAAAAAAGATTGTGGAGGCTTTCTCCAAAGGGAAACAGTATGCTTTGTTACCATGATCATTTGTGTGTTTCAGATGCTGATGGATTGAGGCAACAAATTTTAACAGAAACTCATGGTTCTTGATACTCTATTCATCCAAGAGCCACTAAGATGTACCGTGACCTATGGGAAATCTATTGGTGGAATGGTAGGAAGAACAATATTGCAGAATTTGTGGCTAAGTGTCCAAATTGCCAACAAATTAAGGTTGAATATCAGAAAACAGGAGATATGTCTCAAGATATCAGCTTTCCTACTTGGATGTGGGAGGATTTGAATATGGATTTTATCATAGGTTTGCCTCGCACATGTCGACAACATGATTCTATCTAGGTGGTAGTTGACTAGATGACTAAGTCAGAACATTTCCTGCCAGTTAAGACTTCTTATTCAATCGAGGACTATGCTGGACTTTACATCCAGGAGTTAGTGAAATTGCATGGGTTCCCTTATCTATCATCTCAGATAAGAGTACTCAATTCACCTCTCAATTTTGAAAGTAATTTCAGAAAGGTGATGGTACTAAGGTAGCTTTTCACCTGCAGACAAATGGTCAAGCAAAACGGACTATTCAGACTTTGTAGAATATGTTAAGAGCTTGCGTGATCGACTTTAAGGGTAATTGAAATGATCACTTGCCTCTTATCGAGTTTAGTTATAATAACAGTTACCACTCCAGTATTCAAATGGCTCCATTTGAGACGCTTTATGGTAGGAGGTGTACATCTCCTATAGGGAGGTTTGAGGTTGGTGAAGTAGCATATGATATCACCTGAATCAGTTCATGAGGCTATGGAGAAAGTTCAGTTTATTAGAGATAGGTTGAGAATGGCTCTAGACAAAAATCATAGGTAGATGTGAGGAGAAGATCACTTGAATTTCATATTGGTGATTGGGTAGATCTGAAAATTTCACCCATGAAAGGGGTGCTAAGGTTTGGCAAGAAAGGAAAGCTCAGTACCCATTATGTTGGTCCTTACACGATTCTGAGGCATTTTGGTAATGTGGCCTAATGAGCTAGATTTACCTACAGAGTTGACATCAGTGAATCCAGTGTTCCATGTGTCCTTGTTGATGAAATGCATTGGTGATCCCACCTCAATTGAGCCTTTAGAGAGTGTTGGTGTGAAGGATAGTCTCTCTTACGAAGAGAGCCCAGTCGAGATTCTTAACCGTCAGGTTCGTAAGTTGAGATATAAGGAAGTCGTTTCAGTAAAAGTCCTTTGGAGGAATCAATTGGTTGAGGACTTAGTTGCGCGGACTCTCCACTTTTGATGCCGCACCCGTTGGCATTTTTGAAGAGTCCGAGCAACATAGGTTGAGGAGCAACTTGGAAAACAGAAGCAGATATAAGTTCCAGCGTGAGGTAATAGTTCCTCCATAGTACTCTATCCAGATTCATGTCTTTTAGTTCATTCCCATGTCTAAGTATGCATGCATGTTGATGAAATCAGTCCACCTTTCATGTTTTAGTTCAGAGTCGGTCACTCCATTAGTTTTCATAGTTTAGCTTTAAGTTCGGGGTTTGCAAATCTTTCCCTACTCTTTTCAACTTATTAAGACTACATTCAAAGACAAATATTCCCAAGGAGGAGATCCAGATCAAATATTGAAAGTCCAGAAATTTAAGTCTGCAGAAATTACGGGATTTATGGATGCCATCTATGGGTTGTAAATGGAACCACGAACTGTATATGGGATCTGTAGATAAACTTTGGAGATTGAGAATTTAGCCTAAGTTTCACGAGCAAGCACCCAGGTCGTAGATGCTTTCACGGGTCGTAAATGGGCTTGTGGATCTAAGTCTTGAAACTAGATTTTTGTCTGACTTTTACGGACCAAATCTATAGCTCATAAATGGAATTATGAACCGTAAATGGGTCTCATAGATCAAACTTCAGAAATCTTAGGACTAATTTCTACGAGAGGAATCTATGGCCCGTAGTCTAATCCACGGACCGTAGATGGCCCTTGTAGAAGTTATCGATAGTTTTTCCTTTAGGGTTGTTTTGATCTTTTCCCACTCTTTTAATTCTTATACTATATCGTTTTAGCCTAATTTAAGAGGGATTAAGCGGAACTTAGTCAACCTAAACCTTCCCATTCACATCGAACACCCAAATAGTAGAATCAATACACCTTAACTCATCTCAAGCAAGAACTAGGGTTCTTCATCTTCAAGCTTCAGTTTAAGGAATCAAGCTAGGGTCTCCATTCCAGTTGTGTGGAATTTCATTAATGGGTATCTTTTCACTCACTGAGTCCCAAAGAAAATCGGATTTTTCAGATAATGATTTTTATAGAAGTTCGGGTTCTTATGAAAGCATGATTTTCACTATATTTTCCATTCTTCTTCTTGGATAGTTTGATTATGTGACACCATCTATAAAATCAATACCTCTAAATAGTATTTCATGAATCCTCAAAACAAAATATTTTTCACGACTCAAAACTATGTTGTTTTAGATTGCATGTCACAGATTATCAATTTTCATGATTTAGAGGTGCTTTCAGATAAAATATCTATTAGTTATTATCAGTTTATTAGTATTCATGAGCTATTTAGATTATCACTTTTATTCAGTTTATTTGCA